CTAAATCTGGGATATGTTTTTTGGCAAGCCTGGATTTCACCTGAGTGTAATGCAGAAAGGAACATGAATGACAACTGAAGAGCAGCCATCTGTGTGGGTGTCTCTCTTTCCAAACAAAACTTGGAGTGAAAAGGGTTTTCCAATGAGCCAGCCAAGAAAAGGGAAACTTCATCAAGAATCACAGTGGGATCTGCCTGGAGAGTATGCTGCATGCAAGTACCAGGGCTAAAACCACTCCCCCTGCCCACTACCAGCAGTCCTCCCAGATGCTCATCTGTCCACTGTTCCTTATTTTCCCTTTTAAAAACCACAGTGAAAGCTGCTGGGGAGAACACAACGCGTGGCAAGTAATTACAGAGCAATGAAGAGCAGAAGCACCTTTGGGGATAAGCAGCAGTTCAGGCAGTCACCAAATGCTGACCTCCATGAGGGCTGCATGAGCTCTCTGCTTGTGAAACCAAGCTGAGGGACACTGGCGCAGTTGTGCTGGGAGGGCTGGGTTAGCACAAACTATGGAATGCCCACAGAACTGCTCACCTGCACTGAACAGAGGTTTTAAAATGGCAATCTGAAGTCAGCTCCGTTATTTTCTGCAGGTACCCCAGAGACTGCCGGGATTCCCACTGCTGCACCCTCCCATGCAGACGTGGGTTCCAGCACTCAGCTCCTCACCTGCCCCAGTACCTGGGACAGGAGGCTACCAGCCAAGTTCAGCTCTCAGCCTGCTTAAAACCCAGCACATTTGCAAGGCACAGGATCAAGACAGAGCAGATGGAATGCTGAATTAGGCTGCTCAGCCTCTATCCAAGTCCTTCCAGAGCAGCTCCTGTTACACAGGGTATTGATTCAGACATTAGCAGTTTACATGAACCTTTGAGCCAACCCAGGACTCTGAATTTCAATGTCTTTGCCAGCAGATTACAACACATGCCCACATACTTTAAGCATAGTTCAATGATATCAGCAAAAATTCGCTGATAGAAAAAATATTTTCCTATCAGAGTACACAAAACTCGAGGTGGACATCTCCTCCTCCATGAACTCACCTGTCTGGAATGAAAACTTCCTGAGCATCAGAAAAAAAGCTGACCCAGGGATGCCTTGAGATTCCCACTCATTTTGTAGCAAGCCACTGTAAGAGGAAATTGACCTGAATCTTGACATGCTTAAGGCCATTTAAAACAGAGACTGGCTTTCCTAACATATCAGCATTCTTCCAGCCTCTGAGGAAAAGAGACAAGAGAGGAAGAGAATTGCTTTTGGGGAGAAAGCACTAATAAGATAGGAATTTCCCTGAAATAATTAGCAATGTAAGGAAAAACCACAAAACCCAACCACCCACAAGCTTTCCATAAGGAACAGCTTCAAACTTATGAAGTCTCTATACCCACAGGCCACCAGGTGTATGGCAAGCACAGGGCCTACTTCTGCATCAACACTGGGGAAACGAGATCACCTGCATCCCAGATGGACAGGGGATTTGCAAATAGGTTTGCAACTAGGAAGTCCCCAGGGAACTAGGGAAAATTGAATAGCTAAAACAATCCTGATTTGCCAGCTAATACAGATGGTTTTTAACAGAACGATAACAACAGGCCTTAGGAAGACATAACCCCTCTCCCCCATGGAGAGAAGAGTGTAATTTTGGCACATTTTTTCCTAGTCTTCTCAGGAAGCTTGGCAGGAAATGGTAGAGACTTCCCCCACTGCATAAATTCTTTTATCAGGTTAAATTTGATTAATTCCTTTAGGAAGATTACTGCTCTAGGCAGTTAATGAGTGCTCCTACCTTGATTCTCATGGTGCTTCTACCCCAATAAGTGAAGCAGCACTTAAAATCTTGTTTCATCCCCAATCCTTTCACACAGATGCAGGTCTTTACCTGCAGGCAACATATACCAACTTATTCCAAATGCAGAACACACCTAAACTCCTAGTGTCACTTCCTCTCTGTTTTTCTGGTTTCCAAACATTCAGAAAAAACTTGGAACTGAAGGATTTCTCCTTGTTTTCTTAATGGAACCATGACAAAGTTGCTATGCAATTGTCTCTTGGGGAATTGGGGTAGAAAGAAAAAGAAGGATAAAGCAGCATGCTGGAGTTAACCTACAGCAGGAAACTATTTACATGCGAAAATGTGGAATCAGCTCTCTTTCAGAGGAGTAAGTACCAAAGGCTTTGGACACAGTCATCCACTATCTGGTGTCATGCTCTGATGTCTGGTGCTTGCAGCACTACCAGCTAATGGTAACAAAGATTACTTTGTAAAAGGAATGGTGGAAATGTCTGAGGAGATGCAAGACCAAGAAGAAAATATCCCTGCACCTCTGAAAGGTTGCTGCTCATGTGAGAAAGCAGTACAAGACCCAGAGCAGTTAGAAGCAGTTCATGAAAGCAATGAGGCATGTGTAGACAGTTTGTCCCTGGAGCAGCAGCTGGGGAAGAGAGGAGACAGCTGCAGCACTGCCCCAGGACATCCCACGTGCCACCCTATTCGTTTCAGGGTATCTGACAAGGGCACTCAAACACGGGCATGATACATTCCATATCATCAAAAAGCTCAACCCTCCGTGAGCCTCCAGGGGCCCCAAACACGGCTGCAACAGGACGGTGCAGGGACAGAACTTTTCCCATGGATGCTGCAGTTAAGGTAACTGCTAATTCACTGCTCAGGGTCAGGTCAAAAGGCTGGCTCATTGACCACCTGCCCTGAGCAGCACTCCCCATCCACTGCTGGTTAACCTCTGTGGCAGCCATCGAAAGGAAAAGCAAGAGCCACCCAGACCAAGTTATCCTGCAGCAACACAATGCTGTTCTCAACTTGCATCACCCAACCCTTATGTTCTCACAACAGTGTCCTAAGCTGTTTTTAAAGTCAGCATTTAGCTTTTTTGCTAGCTAATATAACATTTCCTCTCCCTTCCCCCAGTCCAAGGATTTGGCAAAATTGCTTCTTCTGCAAATGCTGAACTTTTGCCAGTTAGACAGCGAAAATCTTGACTAAAAATAAACCATGTTTCAGAAAATAGATCTCCTTCCAGTACAATGAAGTAGTGGATAATGCATGCAAGCAGATCTGCCAGGAGAACACAGCCTTCAGATTTGCATAAGAATATCCTTAAGCTCAATAGACAGCTGCAACTCCTGTGACTTATCCCATCTTAACAACAAACAAGGCAGGGAGTGGGGGGAAAGGAGTGAAGTAAGGTTGAGGGTACTGAGATAAATCAACTTTCTGCCTGTGGTGGCAGGAAGAGAAGTGCCACCACCACCATGTACCTGCATCCCCAGTGGACCAAGCTGGTCATAACCCATTTGGGAGGGAGAGGATGGCATTCCCTGCATGGTCACTACAGAAGGCGAGAGTTTATTACAGGAAATCCACTGCAATTCAGGCATGAGAAGGGAATTACCTGGGATTTTGCTGCCTGAGTCACCGGGAGTCTGGGACACTGACTCAGTGCTGGCTCCCTCAACTCAGACACACCTACAACAGCTTGCTAGCAAAAGGAGGCACTCCTACCTTTGCTGTTCCCTTCTTATTGTGGTTTTCCCTGTAAGAGAGGCCTTTTACAGCAGAAAATTAATTAAGAAAAAGAAAGCACAAGAAGACTGGCACGGGAAGCACAGGCACTGCTCAACTAACCAGCTGTGCTTTCAGATCCAAAGTGGAGGGTGCGTTTGCTTGCATGCTGTGATAAACCCTGGGATATACAAGAGAATCAGGTGGAAACAGCTCCACCCTGACTCCTACTCCTCTTCACGTCTGCAGCACCACCCAGACGGTCCCAGATGAAACGGGTTTTCAAGAAAGATCTCTTTCCATAATGAATCCATTTCACTTTCTTAGGGATCAAGAAAGCTCTATGCAGCAAGTTGTGATTATATCCTTATACAATCAAATGGGCCATTCAGGCAAGCTAAATGCAAGGCAATGCCATTTTTATGAGATCCATGAGGGACAGATGTTTGCAGAAGGAGCTCCTTTTGCTCCTATGGCAAACTGAAGGTTTGAGTTCAGTGCACCAGGCTAACCCTCCCTTGTTCATTAATGCTCCCACAGCAGGATCATGCACCTGCTTTTCAGACCTCCCCCGAGCAACCACAGATGGCAAAATATTCCATTCCAATTCCAGTTGCACATGCACCTCTGATCAGCTGTGAATACAATTCCAGATAACACAATAGTAGACTGCAACCCAGCCCTATATTTTCCCCTCTTCAAAGTAAACCAGAAATTGAAATTGAGATGCAAGCAGACCTGCTCGTGGCATAGCAAGGGGCATCACTGAAAGCATGTTTGGCATCTCAGGGACTTCAAGTGACTTAGGCAATGCACTTAGAATGTCAAACAGCTGCAAAGAGTGCAGATTAGATTTTTTTATTTGAGCACTGATGCCTTAAAGCAATAACAAACCAAATAACTCAGGCAAAAGGATGCACAAGGCAGCGTAGGGGAAGCACTACTCCACCACTCCTGAGAGCAATCAGTGGCAGAGCAGAGCAGTAATTATCCAGGGAGGAATAAGCTGCTACAGGCTGTTCTTGCCATACATTAAGAAAACAACAGCAGATTTGTTCATGGTTGGATACCAAAATGCACACAGCTCCCTCCCACCCCGCTGGGGACGCAGGCGGACGCCACGGGGGAGCTGCCAAAGGCCAGCTGAGCAGGAGGGCGCAGCAGCAGCCGCCTGCGCAGCCGCGAGCTCGGCCGGGATTCCCCAGCTGGTGCTCCGGGAAGGAAAAGGCAGTGCCTGTGTTAGCAAGGACCATGGCCTCCCAGGAGCTGCTCTGCAGCAATACTGTTTTCCAGCCCTGCAAACCTTATCTTCTGCCTGTGTGTTTTTACAAAACCTCTGGATGGAAAAAATAACTATTCACTGCAGAGCAGTCTGCACCACGGGATCCATTCCATGCCCATCAGGCAAACCCTGCACACATTTCACCCCTGGCCATATGCAGCCCCTCTCCCCTCACGAGGAACATGACAAACATACCTGTTCAGAGCATCAGCTTCTCCTATAGCACAGACAAGGAGCCACAACACAATTCCCATTGGCATACAGGAACTGGCAAATCCTGTAAGCATTAGAGAGAATAGTAATTAGTGACATTAATGAGCTGGCTGGTGAAAAGGAAGGATGCCAAAGCAATCTCTTGAGAATCAGGAGGGTGTTAGATCCCTGCCCTGAACACACTCCTGGCATCATAGCAGAGGTACGTGGCACAAGGCTGTCAGGGGACTTCTCTAAAATCACAGAACGAAGCCAAAGTAAAAGGCAAGATGATGAGTCCCAAACCAAGACTGTTCATCCAGTAAAGCCTCCTAAACAGCCATTTCAATGAAGATAACATCTACATGCAGGGGCAGAGAAGAGACTGGTAAATGGGATGGAAGGGTTCACCTACAATGCCTACTGTGCTCACTGAGATGTTGCTGAAGATCTGCTCCACAACACCTGTGCAATTTCTTCTAGTTTGCAGAGAAGGCAAATCCTACATGATGTCAGAGCCAGGCTGCTTCCATTTTTTCATCATCATTATAGTGTCATAATAAAAAAGGCTTTATATTTTCCACTGATGGCTGTATAAAGCTTTTGTACCTTAGTCACACAGAAGACATTTAACCAGCACTGAGCAAGAAAAAGTCACCTCTGCAGGCTGCAAAACCACCTCACTTCAGGCATTTGAAGTGCCTACTGCATGCCAAAGAAGAGATAGCAGAAATGTTTTACTGGAAACAATTCTAAGCAGCCACAAGGAGAAGTTTTTCTAATGATACAACTGAAGCAAAGGTCACCACATCTAATGTAATTTTACTTTTTCCATCCTGTTCATGCAGTTCTTCAGGGATAGCAAGGAATGTGGTGGAAGAAGGACCATCCTCAAGCACACTGTAAAACAGAGAGGATCTGGAAGTGAGGGAGGTAAGGAAACAGACGTCTCTAGTCAAAACACCAAATCAGCAAGAGGAAGGTACAGAATCAGCCTGACAATGTCTCATGTACTTCCTGCAACTGGACCTCATTATGAACTGTGAGAAAACTTACTCATGCAGCACATCGGCTTACCTTGGACTGAGAAAGAGAGACTTGCTTGCTTTCCCCAGTCTCTGCAGGTGATTCAGAGACTGTCATCGCCAACTGGTATTTAAAGAACTGAGAAAAGTCTAATCCATTTGTGATTCCCTCTCATTTATTTTCCCCTTTCCCATTATGGAAGGGCTGAAGGCATTTCTAAAGATGAAAAAAATGCTGAAGGCCACAAGACCACAGCACAGATCTTGGACTCCAGCCTCAATCACAAATTTTCCATCACTCTGTTACTCTACATTACCAAAACACAAGAGTTATTTACTCCAGTTATGTACTTCCATGAGGGCCTTCTGTTGTTCTTTTGAAGCCAGTAAATTAACACTGTTTAGCAGTTCTACAAGGACAGAAATAACAAGACAAATCCAACCTGGACAATAATCTTCAGTAGTAGCCTATGGATAAAGGTATGGAAAGAAAGGAACTCATACCTTTACTTCACATGGCTTAATCTGAAAGGGGGGCTGCTTTAGCTTTGTAGGACTTCATCTGCACCCGTGCCTGCACCAGGGCTCAGCACATGGGGAGTATCAACATGACAGCCATACAGACAACCTTTTCTCCCTTCCTCCTCCAGTTTCTTTTCCATTTAACAACTTTCTAAATGCAACTCCTACTCTTATACAACACTGCAGAAACATCACCGGCAAAGTTTTAAGTCCTCGCTTTCCAATACTGCCAAGCAAGGCAAAAAGAGATGCCTGAAGCTTTCTTAAGTGCTGCTGGATTTAATCAAAGCCACATGAAGGTGGCCTGGCTTGCCCTCCCAAAGCAACTGCAGCTCTCACACAAAGCATGCTGTCCACAACAGACAAATATACTGGAAACACAGCAGAGTGCCAGGGAATCCGAGTGCTCAGCCTCCTCCTTGGTTCCCAAATTTCCTCCCTGCAGTGCCCGGTGGAGTCACTCATCCTAGGGCTGCTGCTCCCCAGGACACCACCAGGCTCCGGGCAATGCAGAGCATGGATGACACATGACAGCTAAGCTCCTCTGCTGCTTTCCTGCAGCTCCAACTTGTCCATCAAAATATGTATTTCTCAGTGTCACCACCCCAGCAGACTCTCTCTGTCCTTGGCCAAGACGACTTCTTGCTTGTTGCAGACTGAAGTAGTGCTGCAGAAACATGATAACCTTTTGTTTCGTTTAATGCAGCAAACAAAGATTCACCAGAGTTTATAAAAAGGTTATGAAGCAAGGCAGTAGAGGACTGAGTGATACTGGGTGACTACAAAGATGGGGCATCCACAACTTTTGGGGGCAACCTGTTCCTGTGCCTCACCACCCTCATCACAAAATACTTCTCCCTTATATTCAATCTAATACACTCTTTGATACATTCAGCAGGAAGCTTTATTTAAAAGCTATGCTTGAAGTCCTCCCAGAGGGAAACCTCCCCTGGGTTAAGCAGGAAGCCAAACTCTGGCAGCATGTACACAAAGCCATCAGTCAGCAGTGCCCCACAAAGCACTCTTCCAATACTGTAGCGTCCCAGAAATATTGACACAGTTGGCAATCCTTGCCACCCTTTCACATGGAAGGAAACTGGAGCAGAAGCAGGACATGTTCTACCAGGGGCTGTACAGCTGCTCTTCAGCAAGCCATGCCCACTCCCACATGCTCATCAGCTCAACTGATCCAAAACTACCTCTGCTGCCACAACAGGCACTCCTGCCTTTTTCCTCCTCCCTCTTCTACTCATCCCAGGCATCTCTACACTAGAGGTATCAACCATCATTTGCTTGATTCAACTGGAAGCCATCTCAGAAATAAGAAAATTAAGGGGAAAAATTTTTGGCAAGAGAACAGCCCCAGATGAGCTAAAGCTGATGAGAAGCATGATCTCAGAAAGATGGCACAGTGGGACATGTGGAAACCTAGATGAGGCTTCAACACAACATATATTTGTCTTTGCACAGGGGTAAGTAATGTAAAATCAGTTTAACAGCTCCATCCACTGCTGAGCGTGCTCAAACACTCACTTTTCTAAAGACTCATCCAAAACAGCCCAGTGATTTGCTCTCTGAGGTCTCCAAATTAGGCTGGTGCACCCCAACAGAACCCACCACGGCTATGCAAGCCTTGCAGCTTACCAAGGCACAGCAGTAAAATAAAATTCCTCCAAGCGGTTTGGGGATATTTTCTTTGGGGGGGAGGAGGGGGGGTATTTTGTCATAGCTGAAGGTTTTTCTCAAATGGTTTCCAGGAGCAGAGGAGCAAGGACAAGCATATGCAAAGGATCTAGCAAAAGCTCTTAAGCAAAGCAGATGGCAGGAAGCTGAAAATAAATACACAAAGCCCTTTGCAGCACCAAAGTTCAAATCCATCTGGACAGTTCTAAGGCTGTCACAGCAGCCCATAGAGAGGATTTTCCAATTCCTTGTAGAGAAACCCTGGAAAATAATGACGGAAAAGTAGAAGCAGAGGCTCGAACTCTAAGCCAGACCTTCATCCCAACACATGACCAACTTCAACAACACTGCGAGTGCAGAGAGAGGAGAGCATAGCCCTGCATGGTCCCCACAGGCTGGCTTTTCCCCAGCACTGGGAAGCCTGAGCCCCCTCACCCCCACCTTGCTTCTCCTTTGGCACAGGTGCAGCACAGGGTATCTATCAGAGGGGCTGCCAGCACCATCCTTCACATGCCAGCCAGTCCCCTCGCCTCCAAAACCAGCAAGAGGCACAGTCCCCACCTAAAACGTACATGCCACAAAGCTGCACTGAGTGGAGGGAGCTGATCCACCAGCTTGCCCAGAGGTCCCATCCAAGCATCCCAGCAGCAGTCTGACTAGCTCCCCACCACTGGGGAAGGAGGTAGAGTAATCCTCCCTTGTTTTTCTGAGTTACACAACATTAGTCACACAGGCTTCTGCCCCAGGGCCCCCAGGCAAGCATTGCCTTCGATGGCTGCTGCGTGTTCCCACTGAAACCACCAACTCTCGACAGGAACAGACAAGCACAGTTCAAAACCTCGCAGTCAAGCCTCCTTTACACACCTTTCACAGAAATACCCAGAGCTGCCCCTCCATTTAACATAGCCCTATTTTTTCCCCCCAGCAGAAAAAGCACCCAGTTACTCAAATTTAATTTCCATGGTCTTAAATCAATTAAGCAGCTACACATCTCCAACTGACCTGTTCCCAGTTTTTCTGAAAACACAGACCACATGCATACCCCCAAAATATCCCAAAGCATCCTTAAGAAAATCATGGACTTTGTAATAAAGCTCAAGCTTTCACCTCTGCAGAAATGCATCTTAGTTAAAAAAATAAAAAACCAAATCACAACGGATCGATTCAGGTCAGTTTTTACCGAGAAGAGCTTCAGAAGTCAGCTGCAGCTTGGTGTAACCACAGAGCTCATATGAGTCAGGACACAAGAGCCATCACATCCATCACGTCACACATCCAACATTCAGGCTGAGGACCTTCCAGTTGCTTGCATGCCACCTCCCAGCAGCAGGGACCTGGGGCAGAGCACGGCTCCTCAGCTTGCAGAGAAAAGCAGCTCATTGCACTCACCAAGACACCAGTGACCACTGATAACAGGTGCAAGCAATGCCCACACCTGTTTCTAAGTACAGAAGAGCTGCCAAAGCAATCAAGCGAGCCAAGCCCTTCAGCTGCACCTCCACAGAGCTCTCCTGGCCCGTGCCACAGCTCTGCTTTCCCCACCAGCTTTGCAGCACCAGCAGGAATCACTCTGCAACACAGTTTTGCAAGCAGATGCCTGCAGCGGAAGCAGTCTCTGGTGCACAGCCTCTTTGCTCATTTTAATGCAATTTCTTGAAATCAAACAAGAACAGCTAAATTCATTCTCTCTGAGCTCCGGCAGGATAGTGGCTAATCCAATCTTTTCATTTCAGTTTGCCATTTCCAGCAGTCAGAGAATATGGAGTAGAAACATTGTTTGAGCCACAAACTAAAGACCAAGGATGCATTTCTCAGGAATACCCCTCCTGCCCAGCCTCTCTGGGAATGGACCTCT